ACCTGAGGTAAGTAATGATAGAGGAAACAGCATGAATGTGAATCCTCCTGGCTCCTCAGAAGAAGGAGAGATCCATGAACATGCTGGTTCCCAACTTAATGAGAAAGCACAAAACAGTCTTAATTTTAAAAGTTATAGATATCAATCTTCTCATCCCACTGATCAAATAATTAGTGATATAAATAAGGGGATTCAAACGAGAACAAATGTTTTTCAAAACTTTTGTGCTTTCTATTCTTTCCTGTCTAATGTAGAGCCTACTGACTATAAAATGGCATTGACTGATCCTGATTGGGTACTAGCTATGCAAGATGAGTTAAATCAGTTTCAGAGGAACCAGGTTTGGCACCTGGTTCCCCGTCCCAAGGAAAGATCAGTCATTGGCACTAGATGGGTCTTTAGAAACAAGTTAGATGACCTTGGTACTATAGTCAGAAACAAAGCAAGGCTAGTGGTGCAAGGGTACAATCAACAAGAAGGAATTGATTATGATGAGACGTTTGCACCAGTAGCTAGGCTAGAGGCTATTAGGATTTTAATTGCTTATGCTGCTCACATGAATTTTAAGCTGTTTCAGATGGATGTTAAGACTGCCTTCCTCAATGGATATTTAAAGGAAGAAGTATATGTGGAGCAGCCACCTGGTTTTGAAGATGCACTGTTCCCCCAACATGTGTACAAGTTGGACAAAGCATTATATGGGTTGAAACAAGCTCCGAGGGCTTGGTATGAAAGATTGTCCAATTTCTTGATGGCAAATGATTACAAGAGGGGAACAATAGACAAGACCTTGTTCATAAGAACCAGGGGGAAACACTTGATTGTAGTACAAATTTATGTTGATGATATTTTATTTGGTGCTACTAATCAGGTTTTATGTGATGAATTTGCTAATCTTATGCAGAGTGAATTTGAAATGAGCATGATGGGAGAACTAGGATTCTTCCTAGGGCTGCAGGTTTTATGTGATCCATCAACAAAAGTACTTAAAAGAGTTGCTGAAAAAATTCGGCATGGAGAACAGCAAAGCTTATGATACACCTGTTCCCCCATCTACAAAATTAGATGCTGATCTTAAGGGAAAAGATGTTGAAGCTTCTCTTTATAGAGGAATGATAGGTTCTCTACTTTACCTAACAGCTAGTAGACCTGACATTGTGTTTTCTGTTGGTTTGTGTGCTAGGTTTCAAAGCAATCCAAAGGAATCTCACTTGAAGGCTGTTAGAAGGATACTTAGGTATCTTGTAGGAACAGCAAATCTGGGATTGTGGTACCCCAAAGGCAGTACCATTGATCTTATTGGATACACAGATGCAGATTATGCTGGTTTCTTAGTTGATAGAAAGAGCACATCAGGTATGGCACACTTTCTTGGCTCTTGTCTAATTTCATGGGGTTCTAAAAAGCAAAATTCAGTGGCCCTATCCACGGCAGAGTCTGAATATATAGCTGCAGCTTCATGTTGTTCCCAGCTACTGTGGATAAGGAACCAGCTGAAAGATTTTGGTGTTATTTATAAAAGTGTTCCTATTTTCTGTGATAACACTAGTGCAATCAATATTTCAAAGAATCCTGTGCAACACTCCAAGACAAAACACATTGAAATAAGACACCATTTTTTAAGAGACAATGTGGAAAAAGGATTGGTGGAGATGTTGTTTTGTAAAAGTGAAGATCAAATTGCTGATATCTTCACAAAGCCTTTGTGTAGAGAGTCTTTTTGTAGGTTAAGAGTCCTTTTAGGTCTAGTTAGACTTTAGGTATTGGCTTCAATTACTTCCTTCAATGATTGGTTAGAATGGTATTCTCTTGTATAGTGTGTGTACATACTTATGTTGATATCTTTCAAGTGTTGTGTAGATGGTTCAAAATCTCAAAAGGATTGAGAATCATTGTTGTAAGAAACAGGTGAAATCAGGCTGAATTGCCAGAAACAGCGTGACATGGTTCTATACAGGTACCAGCAAAGGGAAACAGCAGACCAGCTCTGATATGTCATCCGATAATATCTTTTATTTTCGGAAGATTACTATAAGATATTTCCTTTTGGAAGGAATTTATCTTATTTCAGTTATTTAATCCCATATAAAAGGCAAACATATCATATGCCTTATTTATAGTTGGTTGAGATAATTATGGTAAAAGATAATTACCAAATTTTTGATTTCAATTTTAAAAATATCCTTTACAGTTGCTTTTTATTGGCTCAACTAACTCTTTTCTTTCCTTCTTCTCTCTTTGTGCTTCATTGTTAAAAATATACACTAACCCTTTGTGCAGATCATCAATCATCATCACTCGAAATTCTCTTTCTCTCTCTCGTATGCTTTAAATTCATCATTGTTCATTTGGTTACTGTTCACTCAAGGAACCAGCTCAGTCTCAGGGGGAACATCAGAAGGAAGCATAAATGTCCTTAAGCCCGAAGTTGGAGGAAATTCAGAAAAGTCAAAGTGAAAAGGATGAAATAGAGGTTGTTGGTTATTATGAGGAGACACCCACTGCTAAGACCATGGTACGAAGTAGAGTAACTCAATTAAAGAAGTTCACTGAGAAGGTGCAGGAGGAACAGTCCATTGACGCTGTTCCAGGAACCAAGAGAAAAAGGGTACCAGCAAGAACCTCCTTGCTTGATTGATGTGATGCTAGTTTTGCACTCGTTATGCAACAAGGAGAACATTCTGAATCAGTACATATCTCTCATGATTTATAAAAAAAAAAAAAAAAAAAAAAAAAAAAAAAAAAAAAAAGAGGAACCAGCAGGTCAGGAAGTGGTTTTGAAACAGATTGGGGAATCACAAGAATATGCTTAGTAATACAATGATTTTGGTTTAAGCAGAGCATGGTGACAAAGATGAAGAGGAATCAGATGATAATACAGAAGATGTTGCAAAGTTTGAGGAGGAGGAAGGGAACGAGAATGATGATGAGGAGTGATGCTGTTTCTGTTCTTGTTTCCTCACCCTCATGTTTATTCTAAAATAACTGATTTTGTTGGTCTGTCTACTTCTCTCCATTCCATGAACTTTCTTTTTGGATGGATTTGGGCTTCTTTGGTTGAACTTTGTTGGCTTGTATGAACTACTAACTCTGCTATGGTATGAACTGTTTGACTAATCTCTTTTTGCAGCATAATGCTTGAATGGTGGTTGATGCCATTGTATGGATAAGCACATTAACTTGTGCACATTGCTTTTACTTGTGGATACTTTTTAATGATGCCAAAAGGGGGAAGTAGTCTGAAGTTGAAGCCTAAGGTTTAGCTAGTTTAGATTGAGTCAGTTTGAGTCTTTTTATTTCGTATTTTCTATTTTATGTTTAGGGAACCAGTTGGCCTAACTGACTTGTTCCAAAGAGTCTTGAGTCCTTGTCTTGAGTCCTTGAAGTTTTTTGACGGTTTTCCTTTTGAGCATGTTCACAGGTTCAGGAACTTCAAGAGTTTGTCATCATCAAAAAGGGGGAATTTGTTGAGTCCCTTAGGTTTTGATTGATAGTTTTGAATGATGACAAACAGCTAAGGGAAACAGGTCCTTGAAAGTGTTCGATACAGTTGGGGAACCAGCTAACATAGAACACTGTTTCCCCAGACAAGTTATTACTTACATGAGTTTTCTTATTGAACTAACTTGTCTTTATACAGGGAACAGTTATATGATAAAAGTGTTATGTACTGGTAGGGAACCAGTATGTACTGTTTCCATGGTTGCTATGTGGTAAAGCAGTCACATACTCTTTATTGTGCATTAACCATGTTACATGTGCAGTAGTTGAGTTGATTCCAAGACTTGGAGCATAGAAGCCTTTCGAAGATATTTCGAAGAAAGATTGTTTGCTCATAATAGAAGTATTCAAGGAAGATTCAAGTCTTGAAGATTACATGAAGAAAAGACGATTTATGCTTTAATATGTTATCTAGGTTTTCATGTAATATGCTCCGTAGTATGCTTGCATGTTTGGGTTATATAAGTGCTTAAAAGTATATTGAAGTATGATATGAAATCTGGTACAAAGTTGGAACAGGTTTCATAACATGTTTCAATTCAGGGAACCAGGTCGGGGAACCAGGTTCACTGTATTCGAGCTGCCGTTTTGGAAAAAGATTTTACAAAAAGATTTTTTCGAAAAGATTATCTTGAAAATATTTTGTGCAGCTGGAAATAAGATGAAATATTCTTGGTTACCTAAAATCTAGGAGTATTTATCTTAATTGATTCTATCTTTGTGATTAAATCAAATAAGATAAAAACTTTCCTAAAATTACATTATATCTTATTCTCTAAGATTGTGTGATTTAAGGAAACTAGGTTTTAGGAATCTAAGCTTATATAAACTCATCTTATTTCACATATTTCGTGTGCCTCTCCAGAAATTAAAAGAGCAATTATTTGAGAGCATATACTTAAGCACTAATCTCATTCATCAAGTCATATACAAGAGCATTCTAGTATTTAAACTTTTTCTCTTAATTAGCTTCGTAGAAGTGAGATCAAAGGAGAGTTTTTGATTCTTGTATTGAGTCTTTAACAAAGGGGTTAAAGGCTGGGTGAGTGTTTGTGAGTTCAAACACATTGGGCTTACGAGTGTAAGTCGAGAGCACACTCGGAGTAGAGTGTGGGGTTTGCTGGTTCCCGGAGTAGGGAACAGCAGAGTGTTCTTTGTCTTTGTTTTTCGGAGTAGATTAATAAAGAACTTAGGATAGGAGGACGTAGGCCTGAGTTGGCTGAACCTCGTTAAATTTGTTGTGTTCTTTATTGCTTTGTTTAGTTAAATTTGTTGTCTTCTTTATTGCTTATTTATATTCCGCTGCGTACGGGAACCAGCACAACTGGTTCCTCACACATAATCCGAAAAGAAGCAAAATTAGCCAACGATTACTTAACACTCAATTCACCCCCCCCCTCTTGAGTGCCCATTGAACCTTCACTTCTGTTTTGATAGGTTGGGTTCTTTTCAAAATCTTCAATGTAGATAACCTGTTTTGCTTTCTGATTTTGAATCAGATTGGAAATCCACTTCTCAAACTCGATAGAGATGTTCCTGCAACATACGAGTTTTACTGGTCTCATGGAATGATCTCTGATGAAATTGGCCTTGCCATCATGAATCAGTGTGATTTTGAAGATTATACCTTTCCAAATCCTCATAACGAAACTGATGTTTGCAACAATGCTATATCAAAAGCAAATACCATTGTTGGCGATTATGTCAACGAGTATGATGTTATCCTTGATGTCTGTTATCCATCTATTGTAGAGCAAGAACTGCGGTTGAAAAAAATGGTGAGATCACTGTCCTTCATAGTAATTTTTACCCTGACATAAAATGAGTAACGAAACATCATTGCAAGAATTTCAGATGCTTATTATGAATGGATTGATTTTTGTTCCTGAATACAAGTATAAACTTTTTTCAGGCCACTAAAATGAGTGTTGGAGTTGATGTTTGTATGACTTATGAAAGACGATTCTATTTCAATCTTCCTGAAGTACAGAGAGCTCTCCACGCAAATCGGACTAATCTACCTTATGAATGGTCTATGTGCAGTAGGTATGTAATTTTAGGAAACCACTCTGTCTACTTGTGGTGATTGATTTTCTCAGCTATATCTTTATATGATATAACATTTTCTGATAACCCCTTCAGAAATAATGAAAAAATCTAGCAAGGCATTAGTACACTAGTACAAGCATTCCTTGCAAAATTGAACTGATTTGTAATAACTTGACTCAAACCCACAATACTACCAAAAAATGCATAACCATTATTGACCCGAACCTAAAATGATCCAATCATGCCAGGAAAGTTAATTGCATAACAGACACAAATATGATCCAGCCTGAATATGCAGTTAACAAAACTAAAATTTCATCTTCTTTCTTTCTCATTTTTGAATTTCTGACTGTGTCATGTTTTACAGCATTCTGAATTACACTGACACTGATGGTAGCTTGAATATGCTTCCTCTGCTGAAAAGGATACTGTTGCACAATATTCGTGTATGGATCTTCAGGTAACAGTCTATGAAACTTACACTTTTCAAACCAAAGTATGAAGAAATATATCAAAAATTACACTGCTTAAACTTATTTCTTTAATTTTCGGCAAGCCTAAACATCTGTTACACTGTTGACAGTGGAGATCAAGATTCTGTTGTGCCACTGCTTGGCTCCCGTACCCTTGTTCGTGAGCTTGCTCATGACCTCAAATACAATATCACCGTCCCCTATGCAAACTGGTTTCACAAAGGACAGGTAAATTGTTGATGCATTGATGTCAGCTTTCTCCCCTTTTCCTGCTGTTACTTCTCTTAATCAAGCCTGCATATCTACTTACAGGTAGGAGGTTGGACTACTGAATATGGAAACTTACTCACATTTGCGACTGTGAGGGGCGCTGCACATATGGTACCTTATGCACAACCATCAAGGGCTCTGCACCTGTTCAGTTCATTTATACATGATCGAAAACTGCCAACAACAACTAAAGAATCCATAGAATGATGAGCTAGATTGGAAACTGATCTAGTTCTGGGTGCTCTCAAGTTGCATCCTGCAGTTCTGCAACATTCTACTAAGAGGGATAGTATTAGATGATTAGTGATAAAGGATAGAACTACTTCAAATTTCGAAATAAAGGATACTTAGGATAGTTGAATTTTCGATTCATCTGCAAGATTAAAGTGAGGGAGCATAGATATCTGTTGATTTGAGTTTCGGAATCAGGGTCAAAGGAGCCTGATTCCTGTGATTTGAGATCTGTAAGTTAGTTTGACATTGTTTTGCAGTTTTTTTTAATGGGAAATAAATTACATGTTCAAACATATTTTTGCAGCAAGTCAACAAAACTCAAGGCAGGTACATAATAAACAACACATTTCTTGCTGTAATTCTTCCCTCATCATGTATCAGAAGTAGTATTTAAGTTTGTTCCATCATTCTAGTGATCAATAGCCCGCCTAGCTCAGTTGGTAGAGCGCAATTCAGGGTATATCCCACCACTCTCCATGGGTGGTAAGCAATATAAAATCAATGGGTAGTTGTGGTCGTGGGTTCGATTCCCACGGCGGGCAGCACTTTTTCACCATTTTAGAGTTGATTATTTGGTGTAACACCCATTTCTTGTATGCTTAGGTAATCAGCAATTAGTAATTTCTTAGAATAGAATCTCAATGGTCGAGACATTTTTCTATTTTAAACGTTTCAAAATAATGGTTACACTTACACTTTTTTCACGTAGAAAGTATAATAAAAAGAACTTTTTTTATTTTTTTTTATTTTTTTTTTACCAGATAATAAAAGAACTTTCATTTAGTGACTTTTTTTTTATCTCATGACAATTTCAACTAATCAAGGAAGTTCCACTCTCTCCCTGATGCTAATCAAATGATTTGTCATAATTATACTATGAGTCCATAGATTACATTTTTCCTTTCATGAATTCACAATCTTCCTTTCATTTGCTTGAAACAAACAAACACTTAATATATTATTTGATATAGTTTAATTCAAACGCATTATCTTAGGGCCTTCTCTTCAGCTTATTTTCAATTCAGTTTAGTTTCAATAAGTTCAGTTGAGTTTATAATTTCTTTCTCTCATAAAATATTCAGTTCAATTTAGTCAATCACAACAGGCCTTAGTACTTACATAATAAGGTACTAATACTAAGGTTCGATTTAATTCAACTTACTTTTGTTTTTGTTTTTTGTTTTTTTAAAACTAAGGAAGCATAGACCATTTTATTATAATAAATACTTTTGCTTACTGATCTCAAGTTATATTTTATGATATGATATGATTTTATTTGATTGTATGAGTTGATCAAACTTTAACCCTACATACAAAATATTTTTTCCTTATCCAATTCAAATTTATTTTTTCAACAAACACATACTCAAAAATTGGAATTTTTTTTAAAAAATAAAATAAAATGGAAAATATTGAGAGTTGAGACCATCCTTTTTGGTATAAAACTTTTTACTAAATTTTTTCGTGATCAGAGGTCACGAGCGGCATGCGCTTCGCCGGAAACTGAGAGCTGTACTCTGCTTGTCAATAAGTTCTTAAATACCTTAAAACAAGCAATTATCAAAACTCTAATTTTGTTTCAGAAATGTTTTAACTATGATTAAATCACTGAATTTTGGCTTCTTTTTCAACAAAAATGTACAAGAAAAACTCCCAATTTATTCGTTACTTCTGCAATTTCACACCAAATTTACCAACCCCACATCAGATTACACATGGGGTTGATGACCATCTTCTGAAACTATGCTTGGAACAATGTGGGAAAATCAAGGCACGCCAAGTGTTCGATGAAATGCCTCAAAGAATATCCCAAGCTTTTAATGCTTGTAAAGTTATCCATGCTAGTACCTTGAAGATGGGTTTTGGGTTAAATGGGCAGTTGGGGAATGCAATTCTGGATTTGTATGCTAAATGTGGTAATGCAGGGTATGCCAACACGGTTTTTGAGAGGTTGGAGATGAGAGATGTGCAGGGGTGGAATTCAATCATGTCATTGTATTTGAGAAGTGGGTTGTTAGATAGAGTTGTGGAGTTATTTGGGTCAATGAGGAATTCGGGTGTCGTGCCGAATCCGTTTACTTATGCTATTGTGCTGTCTGGTTGTGCCAGGATGATGCTGATTGAATTTGGGAAGCAAGTACATTGTGATGTTATTAAGATGGGTTATATGTGTCATACCTTTTGTGAAGGTTCTTTGATTGATATGTATGTTAAGTGCAATTCTTTAGGTGATGCTAGGCGAATGTTTGATCCCTTGTGCAGACCGAGTTTGGTTTCGTGGACTGCGATGATTACAGCATATGTTCAGATGGGATTACTTGATGAGGCACTTAAAGTGTTTGAGTGTATGCAAAGTTTAGGTTGTGTTCCTGATCATGTGGTATTTGTGACAGTGATTAGTGCATTTGTTAATAATGGGAGGCTGGATAAGGCAAGGGATTTGCTTACCCAGATGCCTTTTCCAAACACTATAGCTTGGAATGTTATGATTTCTGGTTATGCAAAAAATGGAAATGAGGCAGAAGCTATAAATCTCTTTGTGAACATGAGGAAAGCCGGTGTGCCATCTTCTCGTTCCACTTTAGGAAGTGTTCTAAGTGCCATTGCTAGCTTGAAGTGTCTTAATGTTGGCCTACCAGTTCATGGCCAGGCAATTAAGCAAGGGCTTGATCATAATGTTTTCGTGGGAAGCTCTTTGTTAAATATGTATGCCAAATGCCATAAGCCAGAGTCTGCAAGGCAAGTCTTTGATTACTTGGACCAGAGAAACATTGTGCTGTGGAATGCAATGCTTGGGGGCTACGTACAGAACGGGTTTGCTGATGAGGTGGTTGAATTGTTCCTGGATATGAAGGATGGTGGTTTGCAGGCTGATGCATTTACTTATACCAGCATTTTGAGTGCATGTGGTTACTTGAAGTGGCTGGATTTTGGAAGCCAATTGCATGCTGTGATAATTAAGACCAACTTTGAGTCAAACTTATTTGTAAGCAATGCATTGGTTGATATGTATGCTAAATCAGGCAGATTAGTGGAAGCAAGGCAGCTTTTTGAGACTATAGAGGGCAGGGATAACGTTTCTTGGAATGCAATCATTGTTGGGTATGTCCAGGTGGAAGAGGAGAATGAGGCTTTTGGCCTGTTTCGAAGAATGATGTCTGATGGTATGGCTGATGAAGTTGCTATGGCCAGTCTACTCAGTGCTTGTGCTAATTTAAAAAATCTTGCCCGCGGAAAAGAGTTACATTCTTTATCAGTGAAACATGGCTTAGCAACTAGCCTTTATGCAGGAAGCTCACTTATTGATATGTATGTCAAGTGTGGGGTGACTGAGACTGCATGCGAGGTATTTTATAGGATGCATAATTGGAGTGTAATCTCTATGAATGCTTTGATTGCTGGATTTTCTCAGGACAATCTGGAGGAGGCAGTAAAAATCTATAAGCTTATGCTGGCTGAAGGACTATGTCCATCTGAAATTACTTTTGCCAATCTTTTAGATGCATGTCACGGTCCTTGCGGATCTAATCTAGGGAGGCAAATCCACTGCCTCTTGCTGAAGAAAGGGATCTTGTATGATGATGGATTCTTGGGTATATCTCTATTGGGCATGTACATGGATTCCCATAGCAATGCAGATGCCGGTAAACTATTCTTGGAATTTCCAGAGCGAAAGAGTGCAATACTATGGACATCTATGATCTCTGGTTTAAGTCAAAATGATTGCCACAAGGAGGCTTTGGAACTTTATAGAGGAATGCGTAGCCAAAATGTTTTGCCTGATCAAGCAACATTTGCTAGCATTCTCAAAGTATGCTCCTTTTTAACTTCATATAAGGATGGTACTGAGATCCACTCCTTCGCTTTTCGCTCTGGCTTCAATTCAGACGTGTTAGTGGGCTGTGCCCTTATAGACATGTATGCCAAATGCGGAGATGTGGGAAGTTCTGTAAAGGTTTTTGAGGAGGTTGCCTGTAAATGGGATATTATTCTATGGAATTCAATCATTGTAGGATTAGCTAAAAATGGTTATGTAGAAGATGTACTAAAGATATTTGGTGAATTATTGCAGTCGCATGTATATCCTGATGAGGTGACGTTCCTTGGTGTCCTTAGTGCTTGTAGTCATGGGGGCAAACTAAGTGAAGGTCGTCATATCTATAATCTGATGGTTAACCAGTGTGGTATTCAGCCAAGACATGATCACTGTGCCTGTATGATTGACCTATTTGGTCGATGGGGTTTTCTTGAGGAGGCAGAGAACTTTATTGAAGAGCTGGAGTTTGAACCTGATGCTAAGATTTGGGCTTCATTTCTAAATGCTTGCAAGTTACACGGAGATGATGCAAGGGGTAGGAAAGCAGCAGAAAAACTGATTAATCTGGACCCTCATAATTCTTCAGCATACATTTTGCTTTCAAGCATACATGCTTCCTCAGGTAATTGGAGTGAGGTTGACTCTTTGAGAAGGAAAATGAAAGAAATGGGTGTCTTAAAGTTTCCTGGATCTAGCTGGATTGATAGTATGGAGGACAAAGTTGTTCCTAGCTCGCAATGATATATTGATGATGTTTGAGGCTGCTTTTTTCAAGTTGCATTCAAGACCATACTTCACTTGCAGTTGGGACAATTTTAAATTATTGGAAAACTTAGATAGTGTGCCTCACCATCTTTCTTCTGTCATCCCAATGTAAAATCTCTTGCAGAGCATCCCATAATCTGCTGTACTTCAGATTCAAAGCAGACCAAACAGTACTTTGACAATTTATGATGACAAAACCGATCGCAGAGGAAGCTAAAACCATTTTGAAAGCACTGTTGTACATATCCACCTTCAAATTTTGAGAAGGTAGTATACTATTAAAGGTGAAGTACAACAACAATAGCAACCCTGTGCAGCTTCCTATTTTGGCAGGATGTGGGGAGATATACATGTGCACAACATTATCAGTCAAGATTAGATGATAGCTCCTCAATGCAAAATATCTATAGAAGTAGAAATTAAATAGACATGGTATATAAATAGTCGCAAGAATTACTAGTTTTCTAGGAAAATGTAATATTGTAGTTGTGATGATGGAATATAATAGTTTTTTTTTGGCAGGGTCACGGGGTTAGAACTACGATGGTGTTAAGCTTTCAAAGTGAACAACTCAGTAGCAGGAGAGACTGTAAGTGAATCACTATCATATTATCTAGCTTAAGCATCAAAAGTCTTTATTTTCAAGGGGGAGTGGCCGAGTGGGGGACAATTGGAATTCTGCTACAATATTTGTAAATGTTGTGCTGTAATTCCTCCATAATTTTCCTAATGTAATGTTGCAGTGTTTTCCTTCCATTACGAGGTTATGTTTTTTCATCATCCTTTTACAAATTAAGAATCTTCTGCAGTTGTGCATATAATTTACTGATGTGTAGGTCTAAGACGTGAAACCTGGTTTTTGAACCGTATATCACCTCTGACCTGCTGCTGCATATTAACTACTGGCTTATAGTAACTGCCTATCTGTCAGTTATTGCATCAACATTAGCTAAATTAAAGTTTGGGATTGGTCGGCCCTACTTGCTAGAAATAAACTAGATTGCCTTTTGCGTAGCTTCAACATAGAGCTGTCAAATTGGGTCTATGGTCAGTGTGACAAGCGTGAGAAGCTCAGACACATTGGTAATACTTTTTGCAGATACATTGGCAGTACACTATACATCAAAAATACACTGCAGATACCTGAAAATTCCAGTGTAGTTAGAAAGGCTTAATAAGGGTTAAGTCTTCTAACCCTCTTTTAGAAAGGACAAATTATCATCACCATTACCAAAACTTATGCAAAATAGAAAAAAATAACTACATTAATTTCGATTCCTAATGAATTGTCATGAACTCATGACACACTAGATACGCTATACAATCAAATATATACAGTGTTTTTCTGGTGTATTAGTTGAGTAATGAGTTGTAATTTTCTCTCCTCAAGTCCTTGCTGAACCCACCAAGCCATCAAAACCACAAATGCTCACTTTAAAGTTTCAGCTATCTCCCACAAGATTGCATATTCTAAACAGCTCTGAAATTAGAGATACTCAGCCTCTGTTCTTTGGTTTACTATTTCTTGAAATTCAGTGTGTGTGTGTGTGTGTGTTTGTTTCCCGTCACATTTCAATCTCCTAGTCTATTATTACATAGGTGTGTTGTCGTGTTGATGGTGAACATAAATTAATTTGCTTGCTGCAAATCTACTCAGGCCAGTTCTTGTCAAGCCTTACAGATGGTGAGATAAATTGATCAACTCGGGAGCAGGAGGTATATAGTTGCCTTATGTGAAGCTTGAGAAGAGACTGATAAAGCAAGCCATATGTATGGGAAAGATAATTTTGTCGTGCTAATTCATAGAGATTGTGAGAGTGTCTCTTGATCTAGCATCTCCTTGATGTTCCAGCAAGTAGCTACTGACTTAAGAGTGGGACGGGGGGAGTATGATAGTACTGGGGACGTGCAATTAATTGCTTAAAGACATGAGATGGTGATTATATCCTAAGTTTCAAACCTTCAGCTAACAAACATGCTATATTATGCATGCTCAGAAAGCAATGACAACTAGTCAGTTTATGCAAAATCACTGAGCACTATTCCTGCCAGGCTGCTTCCCTTTGTATTCATTTTGAATCTGGTTTCTGCATACTTCCATTCTATGTTGCTAGGAGGTATGTTTCCAATTTCCCAACTAGACTATTTTGTGGTATTGTTTCATTATTTGGTTAAGAAATGAAATAAGTGTCTTGACTATTTTTGAATGTCAAATATCCAACACGTGTACTTGAGGTAAAATAAAGTGTTAAGAGTAACAAAGCTTCATTTGCAGTTAGAATCATTTTATGTGGTAGTCTAGATATGATTACTCTCCCTGTTTTTTAAGTGCATCACTTTGACTATCACGGAGTTTTAGGAGAGGGAGTTGAATGGATTAAAAAATTGTGTAATTGGGATTTGTTGGAAATAAAAATTAATTAAAAAAAAAGAGATTTTGGGAGTAATAGCTTATTTAAAGTAAGGAATGTAAGATTAGATAATAATAATAGAAGTGGGGGACCATGTGAGGAGAGAGATACAATAAAAATAAGAAAATATGTCAAAAAAAAGTGCTGAATTTAAATAAGGGCCGAAAATGGAAAGTGATGCACTTAAAAAAATTTGGAGGGAGTGTATTGTTAACTCAAATATGTGAGCTGAACATTCCAAATTGTCATTGTAAATGAGGGATAGTGTTTGGTGGTCTTGTACCTTCTGAAAAAACAAAATGTTCTCCTAATTATCCTAAATCCCAATCTTTTGGGGATTGTGCAGTCATATGTAATCCTATAAATTTGCATAGCCAGAAGGTAATGCATGTGCGGGCTCTTTGTTCAAAAAAAATTGGATGATTTAATTGTGCAAGACTGCAAGTGGAGCTTATATATTTACATACTCCGTATGAAAATATGGTCTCTATTTGGCTGATAGTGACTCTGTCAGTGCTGATCTTATATTCTTTCCCATACCAGTTCTTCTTTAGTCAGAGGTTTAAGTTTATCTTTCAATTGATTGAATTTCCCCTTTCAATTTGGTGATTGAATTTTTTGGGCGGAAATTAGGGAGGACATGTCATTACAAATTATTTCCTTAATTTCCGGGCCCATGTCGATTTTTTATTCAAAGATATTTGTTGTTATGCAGTCTAAAAGTTGTTCAATTGGACACTCTTTTCCCCACCTCCCTGAAAGCTAGTAGCTTTAATTTTTTTTTTTTTAAAGGATAGCCAACTAAAAGGATACAAACACACCTTTAATATTGGTACTTAATAAACCCACCATTCACATGCTGCTATGCAAATAATATAAATTTAGTAAGGGAATATTTTGAAAAAGTATAGACTGGAAATGACTAGCAGGGCTTGCATCCATTGGTGGCTGATGCTGATAATTTTTGTAGGGATTGGTTGTTTGAATGGGTATCCTCTCAAGGATCTTGTGATAGGATTGCCTGGCCAACCAAAAGTTGGATTCAGACAGTTTGCTGGCTACATTGATTTGGATGTTAAGACTGGAAAGAGCTTGTTTTACTACTTTGTTGAAGCTGAGAAGGATCCTGACCATAAGCCTCTCACTCTTTGGCTCAATGGAGGTTAGCTTCTTGCTCTTCTGTCTGCTTCATATCCTGACGTTCCATTGTACATTTTTTTTTTCTTTGTATTTGAATGTATTCTTCTCGGTCTTTGAAGACAAGCACCATCGACTGCTTTGCATTCATCATTATTGATTATGTATTGCTATTCTGCTAAGATGCCCTGATATTTCTATGCCGGCTGGAGTATCTACAAAGCTTTTATAATTTCATACCTAAAACGAGAGACCAAATAAGCTGCTTGATTACAGCTTTTAATAGTAAATTCCTATGTGCTCCATACCTTTGTTTGTTGAGACTAATAAAAACAGTGTAGATAATTGCTGACTATTATTAAGAACTGGTTGTCATAGCCCTTCACCCCACCCCCCATCGTGCTGTGTTTTGTTTTCACCTGCATTTTGGTTTGCAGGCCCTGGTTGCTCGTCACTTGGTGGTGGTGCATTTACGGAATTGGGACCATTCTTTCCTACAGGTGATGGTAGGGGTCTTCGAAGAAATCCAAAATCTTGGAATAAAGGTTGTACCTGTTAACCATTTATTTAGAAGCTTTCTTATCTCCTGCCTACGTTTGTAACCACTTTAATGGTACTTTTATCACCCTATTCTGTGTCGATTACAGCATCAAATCTCCTATTTGTGGAGTCTCCTGCTGGAGTAGGCTGGTCATATTCAAATACAACGTCTGATTACAATGCCAAGGATACCTCAACAGGTGTGGTACATTATTTTAGGACAGTCTTTGTTCTAGTTATTATCTCAATAAAAGCTTCATCCTAATTTTTTCAACAGCGAAAGACATGCACATTTTTATGATGAAATGGTATGAGAAGTTTCCAGCTCTGAAATCGAGGGATTTCTTTCTTACTGGAGAAAGCTAGGTAATGATCTCTTATCGCATTGTATGATGATCAATATCTCAATGGTTGTTTCCTTTGGCCCTTCCTACTTTCTCTCTTGCTGTACCCATGTTTTTTAGCAAAATTATATATTCCTTTCTTTTTCAAGTACTTAAAGAAAAATTTGAGGTACTAATGATGGTGTTCTAATATATTTTTGTGTGCCGCTTGTTATTATGGAGGATAATTTACAGGGCATTACATACCACAGTTAGCTGTTGCTTTACTGGATCATAATGCCCATTCTACTGCTTTTAAGTTCAACATAAAAGGAGTTGCTGTAAGTCATTTTGTGTAATTTCACCAATCTTACCTCTTTTCTTATCCCAACCAAAAAAGAAAGTAAAAGGGAAACCTTTCCATTAACAGTTGTAGTGACCCCTCTCTCTTTCTGTCTTTTTGTCGATTAGATTGGAAATCCATTGCTCAGACTTGATCGAGATACTCGGGCAACATATGAGTTCCTATGGTCACATGGGATGATTTCTGATGAAATTGGTCTCACCATAATAAAGGAATGTGATTTCAGTGATTATAGTTTTGGTAGTCCTGATCATAATGTTTCTGGTAAATGCTATGATGCAATAGCGGAAGCTCAGCTCAGCGTTAGTAGCTACGTTGATAACTATAATGTCATTGTAGATGTTTGCTACCCATCGATAGTGGAGCAAGAATTCCGGTTGAGAAAGCAGTATGCTTCATCTTCATTCCTTAGTGAAATAGTGATTGCTTGTTCCTAATTGAAATAGTTCTGATTCCTGAATTGTATCTCTGTCTGCTGATGTGCAGGCCACTAAAATAAGCTTGGGTATTGATGTTTGCATTAATTACGAATCTGGATTCTATTTTAATCTTCCAGAGGTCCAAAGTGCTCTCCATGCAAATCGAACAAAATTGCCCTACAGCTGGTCCATGTGTAGCGAGTATGTCAACTTATAGGAAGTTTTTGTTGGCATTATTGATTCAGGAGATCCTTCTTATGTTTCCTGGGAGATCTCAATATTTGGCTATGGGATGACATCACTGATAATTGCATCTTTTCTGTGACAGAGTTTTGAACTATACCAAAACTGATGTCAAGATGAATATGCTTCCCTTGCTTAAAGTAATTATCCAAAAAGGTGTTCCGGTTTGGGTTTACAGGTAGAAGCATGATATAAGATAAATTGATTTTACTCAAGTAATGGAGATATACAATCCTGAATTCTTTTATGCTCAATTTTCCATTACTCAGCGGAGATCAAGATTCTGTAGTTCCACTTCTGGGATCCCGCCAGATGATTCGTGAACTTGCTCATGAACTAAACTTTACAGTCACTGCTCCTTATGGAGCTTGGTTTCACAAAGGGCAGGTAATTCTCTTCCAACTTCTTATGTGGTTATGTCAGATGAGGACAACCAGCCATTATATATGATATGTAGATTACATACAGCATGCTTGTCTAAAGGATGCAAATACTTTGTGGTATATGTAGATAATTAGTGAAGTTGGAACAACGGTGTTTCTGCAACAACCAAATATGTATATTTATAGTATGTTTGGTACAGTTGAAATGCGTTTGTATGATACATTTACATCTGATCTATCTGGTAACAGGTAGGAGGTTGGTCAACTGAGTATGGAAATTTGTTGACCTTTGCCACAGTGAGGGGTGCTGCACATATGGTGCCCTATTCACAGCCAGCCAGGGGTTTACTCCTCTGTAGTTCTTTTGTTCGTGGACTAAGATTGCCTAATGCAACACGCCAGGCCATTGATGACTAGCAATATTTAGCAAATCACGTGAATTAGAATTGGTATGGGATCTCCAATTCTCCATTTGCTATGCTGCAGGAAACCATCAGTAATGAAAGGCAGATTCAAGTGCTTTTTCTTAGGCAATAACTAATTATTTCTTAGGCAAATTTTTTTTTGCTCTTTGGTGCGAATGCTTAGGCAAATGTACACATAGTATAGCGAGACTGTAATGCACGGATTTGTCAAATGGTTGTTGTCTCCTATTTTTGAAACGTCCTCAAGGCATCTCCAAGACATGAACATCACTAATTAATGTCTTATATTATAAATTTATATGGAGTATAAATACATCAAACTAATATAATTCACAAAAATTAGCAAACTCTAACCCTAAATCGACAAAACCTAACCCTAAAATTGGAAATTTGCCCTAATGCACACAACAATATCGTATGATAACTTACTAGATTTAAGGCACATTTTTTAAAAGTCGATCAAGGTAATTGTACAGTTAATTTTTCGCTAACTATGATGGCGCTAGATTTACTAACCAGCCAACTCACACACTAACTTATATAATAATGCACAGCATAATGAACACGATAGAACACTTAGAATATATCACAAAGCATACTTTTATTAATATCATTAATAACATATTTACACGGTAGTTTCTGGATGTCTTGGACAAACCCCAAAGTCATCTATTTATAGGCAAAGGAGGACAACCCCCTCCAATGCGAACAGGCACTAAGCACGCATGAGCGCCAAGTGGCCCTCATGCAATTAACCGTAAACTATTACAAGTCAGCAATCCTAACAAAGCATCACAGATAGCATTCCTAGCCAACCATCGCAAATTACCACCATCAGTAATCCTAGCCAATCGTTGCGGATCGCCATCATCATCACTCGTGTTTCTTCGCTTCATCCAGAATGCCTGCCCACAATCCATGATCCATAATGTGAAGTGTCACTTCGCCTTGGCTGAGCATCTAATACTTATCCATATATAGCAACCATTCGCATAACTGCTCCTTGCTCCAACCAACGCCTTGCTTCGCATTTCCATTGCACCTCTTCACATAAGGATTAACTCCCAACACCCGTGCCAACTGCCACCAAGCACAGCACCCACGTGCTGCCTTGTCAGCACCGTGCTAGAGTCCAAGGGTCGTGTTGCTTCGCAACAACGCAACAGTAGCCAAGTGTTGCATTGCTTCGCCAAACCGCACCATGGTCCAAGCGACGCATCGCTTCGCTGTACCATGCCGTTGGCTTGCTACGCTCTGCAACGACGCCGGTTCCCAACCGACGCGTCGCTTCGCAGCCAACGCCAAGCACCCACTAACAAAGGCTCGCCATAAGCCTTTGCTCACACCCAAGTCACTTAGCCCACTAGTATCAAGCCAACCTTGTGTCCAAGTCCTAGATAGCCCACATCATCCTTAGAACCATGCACCATGGCCCTAGCCAATGATGCGTCCATGGCTGTACCAAGCCATGACTGACACCATCCCCCTAAAGAGCTTTATATTGCTCTGCGCTTATAATATTAGTGAACACGCCAGTGACAGAAACACAATAATGGACTATTGGCCCCAACCCTTGGAACCAATGCCCATCCAAGCAACCTTAGCTTACCAAGATAACATATAGAGGCAACCATATGCCCTTATTTACTTATTAACCACACCATAGGGTTTTACAATAATATGTACAAGGCCTAGCACCATAGCCAAGCCGTAGTGTGCCTTTGCCTAGGCACGCCATGCCGCGCATGGCCCAAAAGGGGTCTTACAAACCTCCCCCACTTGAAGATCCTGACGCCCTCGTCAGGTACTCTTCAATCTTACCCTCGAATTTCCATAACGTAGTATCACGTTCCCAGAAGCCTCCGCTTCGGGGTAATTCTTCCACCGCACCAAGTACTCAACTCAACGATTCTTTTTACTCTGGCCCAACACCCTCCGATATAAAATCTTTTCCACATCCTTAGTGAATTGTTTTTTGATTGTTGGTGGGTTCCTTTTTGAGGCAGGATGCAGAACCTCCGCATCCTCGTAGTATGGCTTCAAGTAGCTTACATGGAAGGTTCGGTGCACCTTTAATCTCTCTGGTAATTGCAACCGATATGCAACAACACCCACTTTCTTCAACACCTCAAATGGACCATCATATCTTGGGATCAAAGCCCTTTGCGTCGTTTTGGTGCTAATCTTTTTCCAAATCTGAGGAGTTAGTTTCAGCTACACTTTATCCCCAACGTTAAACTCTAACGGACGCCTTCCCTTATCAGCGTACTTCTTCATGCGATGAGAGGCCTTTTCTAGGCTATCTCTCGCCTCTTCCATCAACTCTTGATGATTTGTAGCAAATCGATGTGCTGCGGGGCAGCCCACATCCTTACTTTGCTTTATGACTTCATGTGGCGTAAGTGGTTGCCAACCCATAGCAAGTTCAAAGGGACTCATTCCCGTCGCCAAATTCTTATAGAGGTTATAGCAAAGCTGAGCAGGATCCAACAACTCCAGCCAATTCTTCTGAGAGGCTGTGACATAATGTCTTAGATACTCTTCTAGTAACCCATTGATACGTTCCGTCTGCCCATCCGTTTGTGGATGATTGGCAGTCGAGAATTTTAATTCCAAACCCAACAAGTTAAACAAAGCGACCCAAAATCGACCAGTAAACCGTGTATCCCTATCACTAACAATATCTTGCGGTAAACCAAAATATTTAACAACATACCCAAGAAATAGCTTTGCTGCCTCCTCGGCAGGACACGCATTAGGAGCCGGGAAAAACACAGCATACTTCGAAAATCGATCTACCACCACCATGATAGATTTCTGCCCGTTAACATTGGGAAACCCTGAAATAAAATCCATCGAAACCGAAACCCATGGCTTCTCCGGAATAGTCAATGGTTGCAATAAACCTGCTTCCTTGCGACGTTCAGTCTTGTCTAATTGGCATACGTGACATGACTTCACATATGCCTCCACTTCCGCTTGCATTCTAGGCCAAAAATAACTGCGTTCCAACAACGCTTGCGTCCTTTCCCTTCCTGGGTGTCCAACCCACACATCATCATGGACCGACCTTAACAACTCTTGACGCAATTTTCCGGATGGGACGTACAAACGCCCTCCTTGTGCTAGCAACAACCCGTTCTCTAGCCAATACCTTCGCACAGAATCTTCCTTCACTAACTCACATAACTTTACGTACTCTGCGTTGTCCTTGCACTCATCCCGAATACACTGTGTAAAATCAGATTGCACACTAGTAAGGGCCACAAACACTTCTTGCGTTTTCCTACTTAGTGCATCGGGTACACAATTATGGCGTCCTGGTTTGTGCTGCCAAGAAAAGTCGTATTCCTCAAGAAATTCCATCCATCGAGCTTGCTTTGGCGACAACGTCTTCTGTGACTGAAAGAATGTATTCGCCACATTATCCGTCAAAACTGTAAATTTTGTACCCAACAGATAATGGCGCCAAGTACGAAGGCAATGAACAACTGTCAGCATTTCTTTTTCATGTGCAGAGTATTTCTCCTCCGCCTCTTTGAGCTTTCGCCCTTTGAAAGCAACGGGATGTCCATCTTGGACCAGAACCCCACCAATGGCTCTACCCGAAGCATCAGTATGTACTTCGAACGATTTATTGAACTCCAGAAGTTTAAGCACTGGTTCGGATTAAATGGCTAACTTTAAACCCTTGAAAGCATCTTCACACCTGTCTGACCATACCCACGCTTGACCCTTCTTCAAAAGATCAGTGAGCGGTGCTACCTTTTGAGAATAACCCTTAATGAATTTTCGATAATAATTGGCTAAACCCAAAAATGATCGTAACTCAGGAACCGATTTTGGCTGTTCCCAATTCACGATTGCCTTCACTTTGTTTTCATCCATCCGAACTCTTCATTTGCTAATTTTGTGACCAAGGAACATAATCTCCGTTCTTGCGAACTCGCATTTCTTTTTTTTCACATATAACTCGTACTTCCTCAATTGTTCGAAAACCAGCCTAAGATGATTAACATGTTCATCTAAACTGTTCAAATACACAACAATGTCGTCTAAATAAACGACACAAAAACTATCAAGATACTCGTAAAGAACGTTATTCATTAAATTACAGAAAGTAGTCGGGGCATTGGTTAGCCCAAACGGCATTACAAGGAATTCATATGAACCATATCTAGTTACACAAGTAGTTTTGGGCTCATCACCCTCTTTAATTCTAACTTGCCAATAACCAGAATGTAAATCAAGCTTATCGAAATAAGAAGCCTTTGACAACCTATCAAATAAATCTTCCGTCCTTGGAATGGGATACTTATTCTTCACTGTTACCTTGTTCAGCGCGCGATAATCGACACACATACGCATCGATCCATCAGCCTTCTTCTGAAACAGCACCGGCGCGCCATATGGAGCCTTTGATGGCTTGATAAAACCAGCATCCAACAAACCATCAAGTTGCTTGCGCAATTAGGCCAATTCTGATGGCCCCATCCGATACGGTGCCTTAGCAGGTGGCCTCGTACCGGGCTCCAATTCTATTGCATGATCAACTTCACGCCTTGGTGGAAGTCTCTTGGGCAGATCTCCAGGCATCAAACCCTCAAATTCCTTCAATAGATCAGCGATTTCATCTGGTACTTCAACGATCACATCCTTCTTTATTTCAACCAAAGCGGCCAAGAACGTAGGTTCACCACGTTTAACACCTTTCTTAACCTGCATTGCTGACAATAAAATATCAGTTGAAGTAATATTAGCAGTAGATAACCTACCAGGGACAAAGCATGGATATGCTTCATCGGTTATCATAACACCGCCCAAGTGGGGCGCAACCATCAATTTTGCTTGCTTGAAAAACTTGTTGCCAAGAACCAATTCGTAATCATCCATTTCCACAGCAAGCAACTCTACTTTTCCTTTCCATGCCCCCGTCTTGAAGGAGACATCTTTCACAATACCGACGGAGTTTGCAGCGGCAGAATTCACCGTATTAATCATATGCGAAGATGGTTGAACTTTCAACCCCATCTTCCGAACAAGACCACCCTTCAGAAAACTATGGGTAGCCCCTGTGTCTATCATAGTCCACATATCGGAACCATTCACAGTAACCCTATAATACATAAGGCCATCGACTGGTTCCTTTTGTTCCCCTTTTATCGCAGCACATACTATCTTCATAGTATTCATTCTTGGTGCGACGTCGTCTTCTTCCTGTTCTTTTTCCCTTGAATCCTCTTCGTCACTACTTGATTCACCCAGCAACGCAGAAAGTTGTTGGCGCTTCGGGCAGTTACGAGCTATGTGAGGACCTTTGCAAATGA